TTAGGGCATGAAATCGGAATGTTAATAGCTCATTTATATCAAAAATGTTTTTCATTCCAAAAATTTATTAATCTTTATGAAATACCAGACCAACGATGTAAATAACTTCCCCAGCCAGACGATTTAGCATTGTTAGCCACAGGTTCAGCTGAAAATCGTATAACAATCTACTTCAAAACCAGAAAATGATTACAAAGAAGTTTACAATAAAAAAACATGAAAACACCATATCCCTTCAAAATCCTTTTGAAAAAACGCCACTCTAAGAACTGACAAAATAACATATTTAGGTGCGAACCTTGTACAACAGAATTAAGCAACTGCAGCTCATCGGAACTCAGCCGAAGCATAGTCGCAAGCACAGGAATAAGTTGTTCTCTTTCAGAGTCAACCTTCTCAGGAGCAATGAACTAAAAATGATTAAAACTGTTAATTAGCAAAAAAAGAAGAAAAACTAAGGAAAGGCTCACCTTCATTATAATATTCTTAAGGTACTCAGTATTTGCTACATGGTCAATTCGTTCACCGTTTCGCTCCATTCTCCTGATTTCCTCTTTTAATAATTTTGTTTGCTCCATTAAGCGCGCATTTGTAGCTTCACTTTCACATAATAGCTCTCGAATATTATATAACTGCAAAGTAAAAGATTCAAATAGGAATCACGAATACCATTTTAACAAACACATAATAATTATTCCAAGCCAAGATCTACTAATACCTGTTTTTGAGCCTTCCTCGCCGTTTCTTCCCAGTTTATTATTTCTTCAAGCTGTCCCCATTGTTCTGGAAAGCTAGATTCAGAAACATCATCACCGTATAATACTTCCTCTAACGTCTTATCGCCAGCATCTTCTTCACCACCAATACCAAAACTCTTCGTTACCGACTGCGGCCTTTGGTAATAGGAACTAAAATAAATAATCAACTGAAAATAAAAAAATGAAATAGTCATTAGAGTAAGATAGCCATGACAAATCCCCCAGCCACTTCTTACGACTTAACTAAACCAAAAATCAAGTTCCGTGACTTTTTGCCAAGAAACTACCCCTAATATTTCCACGCAAAAACACCACAGACGATGAGACGTTTAATCAACTTAAATACAAGTTCTCTGCAAAAAATGCTCTATTTTGTGCCAAAACAGCCTTAGTGACGTATTCTTGGTTTAAAAAACAGTTAAAGAAATTGCCTGAAAAAATCTAACCAGAACTACAACGAACATTCCATTTTATGTCAACTAAACATACAAGAATAGAAAATTAGTACAGCATAATGATTAGGATGCAAAGGAACGATAAACCTAATTGCAATAAAGCTTTCGTCTCAACAGTATATTACTATGTACCGTAACTTTTCCAACTAGATTTCGCTCCCACCTGATTTTTTGTGGCTCTCTGAAGTGTAAAAATTCTTATTTGCGTTTGGCTACAAGCGATGGAAACTTCATTTCTGGTTGGAATACGACGAAGAAACAACTCAGCAACTTATTTTTACCTTCCAGTACAGATCTTCTTCATAAGTTTGAAAAGCTTATCCAACCCCAAAAGATATCTTCGAGAGCAATTTTTTTTGACGAATCATCACTATTTAAAAGCTGCAAAATGTTTACACTTATATGTCTAAACAGAGTCACACGTGCTTTCTAAAACTGTTCCGCTTCAATACGCTCTCACACTCATTCTTTTCAACTGCTTCTCCGCACTCGGCAACTGAGAAAAATTTCATCGTTGACTACAGAGAACTATGATGTGTTAAAGAAATGACTGGCAAAAAGTGCAGTTATTTTAATTGTAGTTTCAAAAGAAGCACTAACCTACTAATGTCATTTACTGGCTGAGTTGATTGAGAAGGAACAGCAACGTTGGGATGCACTTTTACATGTTTAGTTTCAAGCAGTTTCTTGCGTTCTTCCTCATAATTTCGTTTTAAATCCTCAATCTTCTGAAATGCAGCTTGCTTTTCTTCACTGAGTTCCCTCACTAAACGCTCTTTTTCTTTCGAATGTAATGCAAGGTTCGCATCAATTTGGACGACTAAATCACTATTTAATTTGGCCTCAGATGCAAGTCGCAGTTCGAATTGTTGCCGTTGTTCACTAAGCCTGAAAACAGACTGTCCTACGAATTAAAAAAAAAAAATAAAGCAGCACAGGCAAAAAATAGTAAACTTGAAAAAAACCTCTTCTTATGCATTTCTTGAACTGAATTCATCTGTTGCTCAACTTCTCGAAGTTTATTTGATAAAGCTACTGAATGGTCCCGTTCAGCAACAAGTTCATCTTGAAGAATCCTCTGCGACTGCCTTAATCGAAAGTCAGTGTGTACACATAAAAAGTCAAAAATTCATTCACTAATAGAAAATATTACTTGAAAAAAATGAGAAATAATAATAACGAAACATAAAGAAATGTGCACTACTACCATGCAACATTATAAAGTGTAAAAATTTTTCAAATCAGCAAAACATTAGTCAAGACTAAAAACATCTCCTGAAGGAAACAAAACCGTAACAGCAGCCCACTTCACAAAAAATTCTATTTAGAAATACTTACATGACATTTTCTAACGTCTTCTTTTGAGATCTTATTGTTTCTTCAAGTGATTCAACTTGTTCGTCTGTTTGTGACGTGCTGCTCTTGTTCTGCTCCAGGACATACAGTGCTCGAGTCTAAAAAAAACATCTGTCAAGCAAGCGGGTACTCTTCTCACTCAAAACACTATAATGAATAGAAGATAATAAAAACTTTTTGCACTACTTTCACTCAAAAAAAATTTTAGTTTTAATCTTAACCTCTTAAACCTGAGGCCAGATAAACAATCCTGTTTTAAGATATTGATAAAAATAAAAATGAATAAATTACATTGAAATGCAATACTACAAAATCAACACACTTTGAACGTATTATGTTCTTGTAGTAAATCCTCGTACTGTCGTTGAATAGAATCCTTTGTTCCTCGTAAAGAGACAATTTGTCTATTTAAGGACTGAACATTTTCTTCCAACTGTCGTACCTTTTCCTCCGACTCGCCAATTGTAGAGCTAAGCGACAATTTTTCTTTTTCTCTTTCGATATTAAGATCATCCAGCTCCTTTGTTAGCCTCTGAACTTCTTTCTCCGCCGCAGCACTTGCATTTCGCTTTTCTAAAGTTTTCCTTATTTTGCGATTAAAATAAATTACCAAGTAAAAAAATAAAGATAATTTAAAGACATCCCTGGCAAAAAAGTAAGTATTAGTTTTCAAAAGCATCAGACCAAATTCAAAGTAAATTTTAAAATAATTGAAAGTGACCACTTAGTTCAAAATGTAATCAATTAATTCCCTCGTTCAAAATTTTTTAACGTAAAAGAATTAATAAAAAAAGCACACCGTCTAACTCTGACTTGAGTTTGACTATTGCTGTTTTCATCTTGCCCAAATTAGTACTTTGACGCTTTTTCTCCTCACGAACAGCATCAAGTTCCAGCCTAACTTTACTGAGTTCGTCATTCAATGTAGTGTAGTTTTCTTTTGATATCTTCAAATCCTTTTGCAACTTCTCTACGGACTTTTCATAATCAGCCATTTCCAATGAAAAGACGTTTTCAACGTTTCTCTTCTAAAACCTCTGCTCTGAAGTAATATAAGGCGCCACGCAAGTTGTTCAACCCGAATAAATGCTGGGTAAAATGCAGCCTTTAAAAAAAATATCTTCAAAGAATTATTACAAGACTTACTTCTTTAATAGCGGATAACTCTTGGTTAGTATCGTCGAGCAAGGAACGTAGTTCTGCAACTGTACATTGAAGTTCCTCATTTTGCTTCTCAATCTTAAAATTAAAACGAAAAATACCAAAGTAGATGAGAAACCGAGATAAAACAAACCAAAAAAAAATAATATCTTAGTTGTAATAAGTTGTACTAATATTGCATAAAGAAGAGATTGTTGTCTAGCGGAAAAGTAAAAATGTTACAATTTTCCTCCCAAAACGTTACAAGTCTCATCTAAATTTTTAACAAAAAAAAAAAA